ACAATGTCGTGGTGGCCCGAAGGTTAAGATGCCCGCTTATCATGCATGAGGGTGTGGTATCGAAACCTACCAACGGCTAGTACCAATGTGACTTCCGAGTTATATGTACTTTCTAAGATTATTTAGACAAAAGGTGAAGGAAAACATCGTGAGGAAACCTGGGGTTATAATTTCTAATTATCAGTTCGAAATCGCCAACCCGCAATTAGATTGATTGATGATTAATGCTCGTTTGAGCATGTGGAGCCTGCATTTGAGAGGGTTTCCTCTTCGTGTGAGAAGAGGCTTTGCTCAACAGTGGGCACTTATAGGCTGTTGATGATGATAATGTTGATGAGTGATATTTGTGAAGGTATTTAGGGAGCTACTAAATGCAGGTTATTCTGAAACTATTTGTTATTATTCCTAATGTTTGTTCTTTTCTTTGTTACAGGTAAGTGTACTTCAAAACTATATTGAATAAGGTTTGTATTCAGATTGATCCAAACACCGGTGTCAGTGCGACTGGTGTTTTGTCTCTCTCGTTCATCAGTTCACCAAAAACGTATGTCTATGAAACATTTTATATTTCACATTTAACCGTAGATTGCCTTTTTGTTAAATGAAAACAAATGAATGAATGAACACAAATGGAATATTTTATTGTTTGAACTTTACTGATTTTTCAAAATTAGGCTGTACATGTAATAGGGGGTGAGTCTTTTTTTACTACGACTACGACTCATGACATAACTTTTTTATATTTGATGGGCTGACGTATAATAAAAAAAATAATAATCATAAAATAGTGAAAAGTGAAAAGTGGTCCAAAAGTAATTTTTGGCGCGGATATTCCATGGATTTGAAAAGCCTTTGTTTTATCAGTCGCTCTCGATATTAACTCGTCGAGTACCGTCATTATAGACACAATTATAGAACAATAGGTTGCGGTCACCGGTGACCGCTTGGTGTTTGACAGTTTAATGAAAATTCTAAATACACAGCTATAACAATTTAATTGGACAGTCATGTTTATGCGTTTTCTTTATTTTGTTTATCAATGTTTTCCTTCTGAATTACAGTAGGCTGAATTAAGCGATACACTTTACTGGGTTCGTATCTTAAAGAAGGTTTAGGGGTAAGTCTTAATGTGAGCGATTCGCGATCTTATTTAAAAATGCCTTAAGTGCTACTTTGGCCTACAGTGCTACTGCCAAGCAAGGATCTCGGGTAACATGCGTTGTTTAGCAAATATGTAGAATTCCATGTCCATGTTTGGTGAGGATATTGAGGTGAGGATATTACACTCCGAATTCCGTGCTATTATTGAAAACAATTTATCTTATATATATAATTCTTCTGTGAGTGTGTATGTCACTGAACTTCTCTCAAACGACTGATGAAATTTTTGGACCGATTTTGATGAAACTTTTTGTTTGTGTTCAAGGGGATCTGGAAATGGTTTAGAATCACAAATCAGCCCGGCAGATGGCGCTGCAGTTGATTTTTGGGTTATTTATCCTAAACAGCTGAAGTAATTTGAATGAATTTTTGTATATACATTCAATTGGATATGCAGGACAACGTCTGTTGGGGCCGCTAGTAACTATATATACTTTGAATGATTCTGCAATCGAAACCGAGACATCTTACTCGGCAGTCTTTAACATTTTTGCCAAAACAACAAACCAAAGTCATGTATCTTATCTTCACTATAATCCGCTCTCGCTACCGTTCACCATCTGACTTGCCCCCCACCAATAACTGCCGTCTACTTAACAGTCCAATACCCAGTCGATGGAGATGAGACAATATTTCCCCTATTTTTATCACCGGCACCCCTTGTCTATGCTCCTGTCTCCCCTCTATTTCAATATAAATTCAATCTGTTTATTCCAAGCCGGTTTTTTTGTACGCTTCGATTGTTCAGGTCGATTTATGTGTTAGATGTAGCTGCACTTGCCCTTTGTTTATTTATTTTGTTAAATTTTGGGTGTATGACAATAGATTCACCCTTATTACGCGGGACTTGTGCCCATGTTCACCAACCATTCTTACATTTTAACTCTTTCAGTCTTGGTGGTCACTGTAACTAACCACCTTTTCTTAGAAATTCAATTATTGAAGTATGCTCCAAATTACTTTGCATTGGTTTTTAAGCATTTCAGTATAATTGAATAAAATATATCCGTAACCAGTTAAAAGTGTGACTGAAAGAGTTAAGGTGTTCCTAAGCTGAGATTGGTGGCACTTAACGTCATTTTAATTTTCACCAACTTGTGACACCTAGGGTAGTTCAAGTGGTCCGTCACGCTGAGTAACTCTTAGTCTTATTTTGTTTATTACTTTTGCTTTGATCACAGTTCCCTACGCAGCAGTGACATTCACTTCATTATTGAGCGACATATAATGGGACCTTGTGACGTACTCCACGCCTGATTCACTTATTTCCAAAATACAAGCTTATGGTTTAGTTAGGAAAGCAGCATCAGTATCGTTCGTAATTCACACGCGTCCATGTAATTGCCGCATTTCTGTGAATGTAATATTGTGAAATTTTTGTGAAAATGAACAATTTTTATTTATTTTATTATTTAGTCCAGAAATGATTTAGGCGTAGTTGACAAAAAAGCCATTAATAAAACAACTGATGAAAAAATGATGCCTTTTTGGAGGGGGAGGAATCATCCAATCATCGTTCCTACTCCTGCACTTCAAGCCGGAGCCCCGGTAACTCGTTAAGTCCTCCGCGGCTCCGTATCGGCATCACCCCATTGGGCCCCATCTTTGCTGGTCTGATGGCTCTTTGAGGTGCGCGCGGATTGAGACGTGCCCTTCGCTCGGGCTGCTTTCTCTTTCGGGAATGAAAAGGCATGTCGTTATGTTATGAGTAGATACTATATTAATAAGATTACTATATGACTGCCTCGTTGGTCTCGGGTCTGATTCGATTCGATTCGATCGATTCGACGATTGGATCGGGTCGGGTATAATGTGCACCTCTGCGTACCCCTTCGGGGATAAAAGGCGATCTTATATTAATCTCAGGTCGCTTATCAAAGAGCTAGTGTATCTAAAACTTGCCTGTAATGTACTTGTTAAGTTATTATTGTACTCGTCACGGCTTTTTGTTCTTAATATCATTACAATGTGCTGTCTATTTTCAGACATGTTTTGTGTGTGGTGTGTGGTTTGTGTTATGAGCGGTGAGCGGCAGCGGTTTATAAACAGACTGACGTTGTTGAATATAATAAATAAATAAATAAAATAAATAAAATTTTTATTCATAATAACACTGGTCAACATAGGTACAAAAATATATCTTAATTAAGCGACAAGATCTTAAAAATATTATGCCTATACTAGGAATATTCCTGTGTCACAGGCGATAGTAGCTCTAAAAATATGTTAATGTAAGAGAACTTATTTATAGTATATTTAAAATATTTAACACAATGTGTTTTGACAGACGCTCTGTTATAATAAAATGGTTGTAAATATTCAATTCAATTTATTAATTTGAAAGTTTTGGTTTAAATATGTAGTGTGAGATTTTTTGTTATAAATAGGGGTATATAAAATGAAAACGTATTTCCTAATAAACATGTGTTTTTTTGTAATACCACAAGTTGCCTGTAAGATGTACTCCAATGTTACGTATAATATATAATCCACAATCATCATCATCCACGTATCCACCACAATTTTCACTGCTGAACATAGGCCACCCTATGATTTACAAATCAACCAGCTGAAAACTGAAATACAACCTTGACACAATTATAAAAATCACTTTTTCTCATAACTTAGGCCACAGCCCCTCTCGCGATGCATCGCAACAATCGAGCCAGTACACTGCGTTGCAAACAAAAGTGCCCAGTTCAATTCGACTAATGGAGGGAGATAAGCTCCCTCACATTACCTCCGCTCCACCGTACACTTCTGGCCAAAGTATGCGCTCAAATTGTGATTGCACGCAAGTGTAGGGAAATTATGATTGGATGGTGTTGTGTTGGACAGCTTTTTTCAATTATGTTCTGAGTGTTGTGTGATTTTGGCTGTGCAATGATGTATGTTCCTACAAAGTTTCAATTTGAGAATAGATGGTTAGAAAGAGAAGCACAATTTGCTGTCTCTGTCTCTCTCAATGTCTCTTACTACAGGAGTCGAAATGGATTCGTAGCTATAAATAAATATCACATTGTGCAAACATCTCTGAGGACTCGTCAGATATTTTATAGTGAGAACCTTGTAACAACTTTGTTCTTTAGGAATAGTCTATTAATTTAATATTAAATATTGAAATAAGTTACTCAACTACCTAAACTGAAAGTCGTTGAAACTACTATCTCACGTACACTAACACTTCAAGTTTCAAATCCCAGATAATCTCTAGTTCCACGATACTTGATTCGACTGCCACTAATCGCTGGGTAATACATTCCGTGCGAATGCAAAGCACGTCCGCACGCTTTCGAGTGCCAGTTTAGACTGACGTGATCCGAGAATTGCATGCCGTGTGCGGGTAGATAGAGATATTTGAGTCCTTTTATTGTGACCGCTAAATGCTTGAACGAGGGTATTTGTGAATTTGAACAATTTTGGTCGTTGAAGTGTTTTTGTCTTCTCTTACTGTGTTAGTGATTTGTGATAGAAAGATAGACACCGAAAAAGTTTTGAAACATTGAGATACAAATTAACTTGATTATTCACTTCTTCAGATGTAACCACCACAAAGCTAATCATATTATTTTCTAATCTTGTTACTACTAATCCTGGTTTGCAATCACCAGATCTACGAAGCGAATACGCACAATTATCATGATTTAACGCTAGTAAAATATAAATTGACGTCACCCATTAATGTACTGAAACCGTACTACTATTTATATCTATTACTTCATGCGTACCTATCTAAAGCCGAAACTGATGATAATTATGAAGATAATAATACCTATCATACCACTGCTCTTATCGCCGGCCAAATGTTTACAAGTTTCTCGAATGTAGTGCAGAATGATAACCTATCTCGTCCTATCGCAAGCTGAACGTCTGTTAACAGTACCGTACCAACCACGAGATACAATACATGTGAGATAATTTATTAAAATAAAATTCCAAAGTTACGAAACTAAAACTTAAAATCCAACAGTTTTTAAAGTTATCATATCAAACACTAGTCTCAAAATGGACTTCAAAAATAAAGTAGTGATTGTGACGGGAGCTAGTTCAGGGATCGGAGCAGCATCAGCTGTTCTCTTCGCCAAACATGGAGCCAAACTCACTCTCATCGGCAGAAATGAACAAAGACTTGAAGCAGTTGCCAAAAAGTGTCAAGATGCTAATGGTATACCACCACTGTGTCTGAGACTAGACTTAACTGCCGCTGGAAGCTGTGCGGCCGTGATCACCAAAACTATAGCAACATACGATAGAATTGATGTCCTAGTGAACTGTGCTGCAAAAATGCTAATCGGATCCTTATTCGATGACAATATTGACACTTTTGATGAAATGATCGATATCAACCTTCGTGTGCCTTACAAATTAACGCATTTAGCCTTACCGTATCTCATAAAAACAAAAGGGAATATTGTCAATTTGCATGCAACAAAATACACTAAGGTCGTTCATGGATTTCTACCTTACGCCATCTCGAAAGCTGGTTTAGAAAGGTTCACTAGATTCTCCGCAGTCGAACTGGCAACTGAAGGAGTAAGAGTAAATGCTGTTCAGCCAGGACTCACCAGAACAAATATATTAGCTAACCTGGCTATGGGAGAAGATGAAATGGAACACACATATGAACACCTATCGAATAAAATGAAGATTTTAGACCCAGAAGAAGTGGCAAAAATGGTAGTGTTTGTGGCTAGTGAGGTCTGTCCAAATCTGAACGGTTCAGATATAGGACTAACTGGTGCATCTTGGATGATTTGATCGAGTGAAATATTGGACTGTATTAGTTACAGTGAGGTATAAATTAAGTTGTTTTTTTTAAGACTTATCGAAATTAATGATGAAATAACTTGACTGGATTGTGCAATGTGTATTTTGTTTTTATGTGTGCTGCTGTTGCTAAGTTGATTGTATGTCGTCTCTAGACCAATGTCAACGAGATATTAGCATTGTTATCTTGATTCAGCAATATAGAGGTAATATTGTGTTTTTCGATTTTGAAAAAGTGCTCGTTGCATTTCTGTCTGCATCTTTAGATAATGATGGTCGTGATTTTACTTTTTAAGGTTAGTTGCTAAAGGTTGTTATTATTATGTTGCTAGCAACACGTGATGTTGCTACAACGAAGTATTTTGTATCTTAATATGTTAAGATAGGGTTCGTTTTCGAGTGTTTTAATACATCAGTATTAAACAAAAGTGCTGTAAAAATCTCTTAGATACGTGGAATGGAAAGATTTGTCATTACCATTGAAGAAAGTAGTAACTTATTTTATTTAAGGAGGCTTGTAATCCATAATTGACTTAAGATCAACTCATGTTTTATCATGAACCGAATCGGTCGTTTTCATTGACAAAATCGAAATTTTATATTGGAAATACCAGCAATTTATATTTTGCAAAATACACAGGACAAGTAAACATACTTATTTGCTTATCGAAAAATGCTTTATAATTATTATTACTTATTGATTTACTGTATCACCTTTGGTGGTGATTGGTTGTAAAATCATGTTGACATTTGCACAACCATATTTGCACTACCATCGGTATTTACGCAGAAATTTAAGGTTAAACACACTGTAAACGTTATCTGTATAATGATTTTTGTTATCTTTCATATCACACGCCTCCATGTTAGGCCTGATATGCTATCAGTTTGATGATAAACCTTCCACAGATGTATTAAATTGGCATTCGATTAAAATTTGCTAGAAGACTGATTTTTTGAGTTTTTTTCTTTGCGTGTACTGATTTTATATTTTGTCTGTGTTTAAAGTTTTTTGATCTGAAACAATTGAATAAGTTTTGTTTTAAAGTGCTCATTTTTAAATTGCTACTTTGGTTAGATATTCTTAGCTCCAATCAAACGTGGAAACTAAAGCAACCTCTATCATGTAGGTAAAGGAGGCCTTTAGTCCAGCAGTTGGATGTCAGAGTGTTTATGATATTATTATCTTTACTCCTGACTGCCTCGTTGGCCGAGGTCGCAAGTACGACTGCTGGGAAGGGATCTTGGGTTCGATTCCCGGGTCGGGCATAGTATTACTGGTTTTTTTTTAATCTCAGTAGTAGCACGGAGTCTGGAAATGTGCCCAGTATATGGCAATAGGCTCACCCCCTATTACATGGGACTCATACACAGATATTTACAATATTGAAAGTGCAAATGAGGCCTTTAGCAGTTTTCATGAAGTTTTTTTATTATTTTATAATCTGTGTTTTCCTGTTCGCAAAGTAAAAATATATGCAAATACCGGTACACCTAAATGGATCACAAAAGGCATAAGAACGTCTAGTGTATATAAGAGACGGTTGAAATTGTTATGTAATTTAAAAACTGGTTGCGATAGTCTCAGAAATAAATATACAAAATACAATAAAATATTGAAAAACTGTGTTACGTTATCGAAAAAAAATGCGAACTCTAACTATATTTGTAAGGCTAAAAATAAAAATAAAGCTACGTGGAATATTATTCAAAATAAAGCTGATTCACTACGAACACATACGCAGATAAATAGAATAATACAGAATGGACAGATTGTGGACAGACCATCTCAAATAGCAAATGCATTTAACGATTTTTTTATTGATTTGTCAAAAAATAAGGATATTAATGCCAGTAGAAGCACTAAAGATCATCTTAACACAACTTTGGATAGAATTAACTCAAGTATATTTCTCAGACCGTGTTCTTCTCGCGAAGTAGCAACAATTATACAATTCCTTAAAAATAAAAAGTCAGTTGGCTACGATGAGGTTTCTACAGTGGTGCTGAAGTCGTGTATTAATGAAATATCCTCTGTTTTGTCTTACCTTATTAATATCTCACTGTCAGAAGGTGTCTTTCCCGATAATTTAAAAATATCAATAGTAAAACCCCTTTATAAAAAAGAATCACATTCGCATTTAACTAATTATAGACCAATAACTTTGATACCGATTTTTTCAAAAATCTATGAAAAAATAATGCATCGACGACTCACGGAATTTCTTAATAAATTTGATGTTATAAAAAAAGAACAAAATGGATTTCAAGCTGGTAAATCTACCACACTCGCTGCATACTCACTGATAAGCTCTATCACTCAAACTATAGACAAGAAATTACCTGTAACTGTACTCTTTCTAGACATGAGCAAAGCATTTGATCTAGTCAATCACAGTAAACTGCTGGATAAATGTGATCGGTATGGTATCCGCGGACCGGCTCAAGATTGGTTGCGTAGTTACTTAACCAATAGAACGCAGTACGTAGAGATTTCTCGAGTTAACGAAAAATTAGTCTCAGTATCTCACAAATCCTCGATTAAAATGAATGGAACAGGCGTACCACAGGGAAGCGTCCTCGGACCGCTTTTATTCCTTTTGTATATTAATGACTTGCCTAATATTACCGATAAAAAATGTGTCCTCTTTGCTGATGATATATCTGTTGTGGTGTCCGACACAGGAAAAGTAAAAGTAAAACCTTACGAGCAGGAAATAAATGAGACTTTGGAGGCCATTATACACTGGCTTCAGGACAATGATTTGGAAATTAATGTCTCCAAAACTAAATATGTTCAGTTTGCTAATTATAAGCGTAAACCACCCAGGCTAAATATCAGTTATTCAGGTCAATCGGTCTCTAAAGATAACAATATTAAATTCTTGGGTATTATACTAGACGAAAACTGTAATTGGAAACTACACGTAGAAAATGTCTGCAAGAAATTAAATAGATTTGTGTATGCACTTAGGCAACTACGCAAAACGACAAATGAAAGCTCAGCGCTATTGGCATATCACGGTTATGTGAACTCTGTGTTAAGGTATGGCCTGTTGTTGTGGGGCAATTCATGTGATATAGACAGAGCATTCATAGTTCAGAAAAAATGCATTAGGGCTATATGTGGAGTAGGACCATTAGAGACATGCAAACCGCTTTTCATAAAGCTGAGCGTTATGACTTTGGCATCTCTGTATATTTTTGAGATTGGTATGTTTGTAAGAAATTATAACTTGTTTAATAGAGTGAATGAAGATAGTAAGCATTTACAACGAGATGCATCCAAACTAAAAATGGATAATTGTCGCAGTACTCTTTATGGCAAGAATTGTGCAATAATGGCAATTAGAGTATATAATAAAATTCCTCGATCTATTAGAGAACTACCTTTGCGTCAATTTAGAATTAAGTTGAAAGCATGGCTAATTGAAAAATGTTTTTACAGTATTAAAGACTTCATTGACTATGGAATTGTAGAACGAAATAGATTTTAATATTATGACATGTAATTTTACAGACATAATGTATTTGACATAATGTATTTTGCCTTGACATGTATTTAAAAAATTAATTTGACATTTTGGAATCATTATTTTGACATTACGTAATAATTAATCAATGAAATTGGATTTATATTCTATATTATATAAAGTGCCTACTATAAACAAACATTTGCATGCCTGGAAAAGGTGGAATACACTGTACTGTTGAAAATTAGACTAAGATCCATTGTATCACATGTTCCTGCGAATAAATTTCTATTTCTATTTCTATTTCTATTTCTATTT